GGGAGGGGAGGGGAGGGGAGGGAAAGGAGGAGTAAGGGTCATTGTCTCTCCTAGTCACGGGGTCCTCACCTGGGGCAGGGGATCTTTGTCCAACAACGGAAGGAATGAGCGGAAAGTTTCATTTCTATACTCTGGATAGGGTTGGAACAGAGAGGTAATCAAAGCTGGGTTCTGAGTCAAATATGGTCTGGGCTATCCAAGTCTCCTTGAGCTATCCCAGCACCTGTAACCTTGGCATTCACTGGGCTACAGTCCCTCCTCAGCAGCAAGTGTTCTTTTAGCTCATCCAGGACTTCAAAACTGCAGAGCTGGAGGGAAAGAAAGAAGACAGTCTGGGGACAGTTTGGAACAAGGTCCTGGCAAGAGTAGCTAGAAGTTCCTCAAAGGAGAGTCACATGGAAGGCACTCATAACTTGGCGAAAGAGGGAGGCCAGCAGCAGACACCCAGCACCCAAACACCCACCCTTTCAGAGTATTTTGGTCTCCAACCGCTATCTCAGGGGTAATTGCTTGCCAGCTAGGGCCAACAATAGTTGACCTCTCCACTCACCATTGTTTTCTTGGCCTCAGGCAGCAGGCACACCAGGGGATCATTGCAAGGTGGCTCCTCTAGTGTGGCTTCCAAGGAGAACAGAGAGCCCTGGCCAGCCTGGATGGAGGAGAAGGTGGGGCTGGCACAGCCATCTTCCCCGCCCCACTTTTGCTCCTCTTAGGAGACCATTGCCCATCTGTGCCTTCCTACCGGGTACAGGTCTGTACAGGTCCTTCCCTCCCTCGTTCTGGCCATCATCCCAAATTTAAGCCAAACTCCACCTTGCACCATTCCTGGGCCCAGGCCCCGCGCCCGCTCCCCGTGCGTCCTCACCCGGCGGACCCTCCCGCGCACCGCCCGTAGCACGGCCCTCGTCCCCGCAGCACGGCCGTAATTGTACATGTCCAGCGCGAAGTGGGCGGGCGCCAGCAACTCCTGGGACGACAAGTTCCAGGCCTGCTCATCATCTCCCCAGGGCTTGGCGGGGACCGGGCTCAGGGCCACGGTCGGGAGCAGTGTCAGCAGCCACAGAAGCTGCAGCAGGGGCTCCATAGCTAGGCCGAAGCTGCTCGCCCGGATTCACTGACCCACAAACGCGCGGATCAAGCGACCCGAGGCGGAGCCTGCTGTCAGAAGCCACAGAGTGTCTCCCCACAATCCCGGAGAAGGCCGGGGCAGCCAATCGGCACCGATTCCTGGCGCTTGCGCGCTCGCTTATTTACGCGAGGCACGTGGACCAC